TAGTGTTTCTGTGCTTCCGCGAAGGTCAGAGAAGTGAGCTGAGATGCTGGACAGGGTCTCAGGGCCACGTGGCAATGAGCAAATGTCCACAGACACTGCCACTTCTTTGGGGGTGAGGGGTTATGACCAAGCAAGGACTTACTACATAAGCTCTTCTCCCCCCAAATACAGGCTCCCCTCCCACCTTATTCCGCAATTCTTATTTAAAATTTAAAGCAATTCTAATTGGCTGAGGAGCCCCTCAGATGGTGACTTTATCTTGAATAAACTAGGCTTAATTTTCTGCCTAACAGTGAAAGGGTATGTGTATTTGGGAGGAAGTAGGCAGCATTGAGACAGAAACCCAGTCAACTCACAGAATAACAAAAATAGCCTTTCTTGCCCAGCTGAGCTTTGAGGACTAAGAAATCCAAAACAACCACTTTTATTTTCTATCTCAGTGACATTTCTGGACTCTTTTCCATAAGAGTTGTGCCAATTTGTACCCTCCTAATGAGCACATAAGCGTGCCATCTCCCCACACCCATATCAACATCCATCGCCAACCTCAAAGGTACACTTAAAAGAACAAATTAAGTTCGCTTCTTTCTGACTGAATAATCATTCAGTTACATTCACCATGACATTATCAATTCTGTCCACACCAGCTTTTGGCACAGAAATGGGAAGAGAATATCAAACCAATTTTAATGAATTTGTAACAGCAAGTTCTCGGCTGAAAAAATACTGTGGCTTATGAGAGATGCTGTTCCTTCGGGGGCTGTGAACATTATGTCCAATGCAACATCCACACGAAGACAACTTTATCAGAAGATGGCTGGGAGGGGCAGTTGTGGAGGGTCTACAAGATGCCCCTGCTCACCCGGCAGCCAGGCTCTGAGCACCCTCCCCTCACACAGACCCATTTCTCTACCAATCACCAGCACTGCCTGTGAGGCCCGTCAAACCAACCTAGATGTCCATTCTAGGTCCCCTGTCATCAATCTAAACCTTTACATCTTTCTTTGCACCAATGTGTAGATTCTCAAGCCTGGAGTTGGCCTCCAAGTTGTCAGGTTCAACTACATAACAGATGCTTAAACTGTTAACTCCAACTCCAACTATCTAACAGATGCTGAGACCCCTGCCTATGGCCGCATCAGTGATGGAAAGGTCCTTCCTCCCCACTCAGCCCATTCCATCCTGAACCCCTGGCTGTAGAAGGTCCTCATTGTTAGGAGCGGGAGTTGGGCGTCTATTAAGTTCCACATTCCTCCAGGGACACACAGGGTGGGACCCACTCTTATTCCTCGAGGACGTCATTCTGCTCCCCATGGTAGTGGCCTAGGGCTGGCCTAAGAAATGACCGCAAGCTTAATGGTTTAAAACAGCAGAAATTTACTGTTTCACAGCGCTGAAGGCCAGTCCAAAACCAAGGTCTCACCAGGGCTGGTTCCTTTTGCAGGGTCTGAGCGAGAATTTGTTCCATGCCCGTCTCCAGGCATCTGGATGCAGCACTTAACACCCCTTGGCGTGCAGAGACACCACCCCAAACTCTCCCTGTCTTCACAGCCCCTTCTTCTCTGTTTCTCCTTCTCTGTCTGCATCTCCCCTTTTCTTATAAGGACATGGTCATTGGATTTAGGGCCCACCCAGATAATCCAGAAGGAGCTCACCTGGATCATTCCTCACAGTCCTGGAGGCCATCGGGCTGCCAGCATATCACTGAAGGCCTTCGTCCTGGTTTGTAGCCATTGCCTTTTTGCTGGGTCCTCGCCTGGTGGAAGGAGTGAGGGGCCTCTGTGACGTCTCTTTTATAAGAGCACAAATCCCATTTATGAGGGCTCCACACTCAGGGCTTTAGCACTTCTCAAAGGCCCACTCCTAATACCATCATTTTTGGGGATTGGGATTTCAGCATATGAATTTGGGGTGTGGGGAACACAACATTCAGATGATAGCAGGTCACATTCACAAGTTCCAGGTATATATAACTTTGGGGGCTCCATCAACTCAATCTACCCCCTGAATCCTATGTCATGCCAATGGAACAGCATGTCCTCCTGCCATTCCTTACATGGCAAAACACCAAGTCCATCTACCCCCACTGGTACTGTAAGGCCTACTTGAGTGCCCCGAACACCAGTGCACACCATTCCATCTCTTCCAGCAACATGTCATCAGAAGACTTGGCACTTGGTCAAGGTCAAAGTTTTGAAGCATTGTTTATCAAAACCTTTGTGGTCAAAGGAGTAGTGTTAGGAAGGGAAATCACTAGGCTTAGATCCAGGCCTCCTTAGCTTTCGGGATTGTCTCGAGTGAGATGTTGAGCCACTCCAGGTCTCAGTTTCCTTATCTACAAAATGGGGATAATAATACTAAACTTGTGTATCAATGCTACAAGGTGTCTGATCATCTTTCCTCTATACATACAATGCAAAACCCTAGTCTCAATATAGTGACTCATTTAACAAAATACAATCCAACAACCAGAAAATTGCTGGAAGTCATTCTATTCTTCCTCTGCTCAGATCCCTCACAGAATGCCAAATGAAGTCAAAGCATTACCCATCATGCTGCTTTGTAATATCCTGTCTGTGCATACTTTCATCCTTTAGGTTTCTCACCCCATGGCTACCTGGGCACATCCCCCTGGCCTGGGGTCCTCTCTCCCAATTCCTGGCCGAAACCTTCTAACTCCCACCCTTGCAGGCCCTGGGCTACTTCTCACTTCCTTCGCCCTTTCCACATCTACAATCTCTCTCTACGTACATCTTTCCAACCCCACTTCCCTCTCCACTCCCCCCATAATAATGACCGTCATTTCTACAGATGCATCTTTGAGGGTATAGGCAGAGGAAGTGGTGATATGAGTGAAAAATGAAGAAGAAAGAGTTTAACCCACAAGCACACATGCTCATCCTTCAAATGCAAAGCATGTGTGCTGTGGCACATGCACATATGTGCACATATATATGCTGTAACATGCATGTGTGTGCATGTTGTATGGACATGCTATGTGGTAAATGTATGTACGAACGTTCACAGGCACATTTGTATGTGTGTGCACATCTGTGTGGGCATTGTGCATGCTATAGCATGTGTGTACATACATAAGCATGTGTGGGTGCATTTGTATATTTGTGCGCAAATGTGTGTCATATGTGCATGTGCATGCCATGTGTAAATGGTGTGCTGTATCGCATGCACATGCCCACACACACAGGCCATGGGCACTCCTGGGTTCTGGGGTACAGGCCTGCATCAAGCCAAGAGATCGAGGCCAAACAGAAGCCAAGCCAAGCCTCCGCACAGCCAGTCCTCCCTCCCGCTGGCCTCAAGAAACAAAGACAGTTTAGCAAGAACTCCCCAGCTAAGCGGTTTTTTTAAGACCTTCAGCCAGCAGCCGCCTGGCTGAGCTGAACGTCTCACTTTATTAGTGAGTTTGGCCTTGGGTGTCTGGCTGTTTGATCAATCCTGCCGGGGGTCAGTGATATTTCCTCTGGGCCTCCCACCCCCACCCCTGCCTTTCGTGCACCTGATGAACAGCGGTGCCCCTGGACCGCTGATCACCTATTGATTTTCCAGCTGGAGACTGCATCCACCGCCAGCGGCCATCTCCAGCCCTGTCACTAGGACTACTTGATGACTAACTGATCCCCCGGGCCCCTCCCAACAGCACCCCCATCACTTCAGACCCAGCTCCTCACCCCAATGGCCATCCTGTTCCTCTCACTTTGTCAGTGTCAGTTTCCTGCTCTGTCTCTCAGGGATCAGTGCTAGGGTCCACGGGAACCAAAGTCAAGGTCTTTTCCTGGTGACCACCCGCTCCTGGAGGCAGCCTGGCTTTGAATCCCATCTGTGCGACCTGGGGCACATCACCTCAAACCCCTGTGCCTCGGTTTCCTCAATTGTAAAGCTGGGGCATATGGGAACCCACTCATCCTGGATATAAGGCAGCAGTTTCCAAAGGGGACCACTTGGGGTCTGAGACCCTTTCAGAGTACCCATAATAGCTAATGTTCATAATAATACTAAGATGTCATTTGTCCTTTTAGCTCTCAATTAATTTTCTACTCTCAATGGAGTGTTCCAAAGACTACATGACATATGACAGCTCAAAAACTTGAATGCAGAAGCAGATATGAAAACCCAGCTGTTTTCTTTTAAGCCTGACATTATAGATTTGCAAATATGCAAAGCAATGCCACACTTCCTTCTCCCTAATTTTTTTGTTAGGAAATAGAGTTATTTTTCATCAAATATTTATGTTAACATGTAATGTGTTTATTATTGCAATTTTGAATAAATTATAAACTACTATTATTACAATTTCTCAGTTTTAACACCTCACATGGTAATAGCAACAGAAATGACCCACATTACCCAGAGCTCTTTGAGATCCTCAAAAATTTTTAAGAGTATAAAGAGTTCTTAAGACTAAAACGTTTGAGCACTGCTGATACAAGATGCTAGCACAGTGCCTGGTCACTGTAAACATTCAGTAAATTTTATCATTTTTAGGAGTAATTATCAATGGGCAATTTGCCCACTTGAGCTAGGCATTCTCAGGGGTGTGGGTGAGGGAGGAGAAATTCCTGGAGACCCTGATTAGTCCCTGCAGCCAAATGGCAAAAGCGGGGTCTCCCGTGGCTCCAGAACCCTCACTGCTCTGCTCCTGGCAGCCCCCCCACTTGGCACTCACTGCCAGCATGGGGTGTTCGCCACCGCCCACCAAGGGAAGGGAGCACCTGGCTGGCGTTCCACCAGCGCCTACCACTGGCTGCTCCTCGTGCTGCATGCACGCTCAGTCACCCAGAGGGAGGCAGTTGGTGCAAACAGAAGAGAGGAGGTGTAATAATAATAGCTACTCCTTGCTTCGCATCCACCGCGTGTCAGGCACTACTGAAAGCATTTTAGCAAAGTTAAATCATTTGATGCCAGGAGCCAACTGCTGTTGTTTTTAAATGTACCTGGGATTTGGTAGTAATCAGGTATGGTACGATGACGGCCACAGAGCCAGCCTTGAAAGAAGAGTTTATTCTCACAATTTCCAAGAGGAGGGGTCACAGCACACCACAGGGGGCCCCATGGAGAAGTACCAAGTCAGTCCGAAGGCAGAAGGAAAGGGGAAAACATGGGCCGGAATCTTCACTGTGCTTTTCACAGGGAGGAATGGCAAGGCTAAGTTGCCAGTCTAGGATTGGCTAGTTTGAGTACTTTTAGCAGCACCAGGCTATAGGGGCTCCCCCCTATTGTCTGGTACCTTTGCTGGCCCTGGGATGATGGATGCAGGAGGAATATTGGCTTGTGTGAGTTAGGTAAGGGAGGGGGAGGGGCCGTGGGCCTTGGATCGATCTGCTCGCATCTGAAAGGTACACGCAAGGCAAATTGTTTACCATCCTTGAGACTTAGCTAGTCCTAGGAGGGGCGGTCCCTTCTTGGGTCTGCACAGCCCCAAGATGTCAAAGCATCATTAAAACACAAAAAATAAAAAGTGTGATTAACACAGAAATGCATACTATTACTATCTTCCTTCGTAAGACAAGGAAACTGGGACAGTGAGTTAACTGTCACATCCAAGGTCCACACAGCTCATAGGTAGTAACAGCAGGACTCAAACCCAGCCACAGGGGCTCCACAGGCCAAGTCTGTAGCCACCATGCAATACTGCCTCATGCCAGGGCTGCTTGACCCACGGGGACTGCACACTGGCTGGTCTCCGATAGCCCAGAGCCTGGAGCGGGTTGGGCCAGGCCCTGGCACAGCCAGCAGAGCTCTGGGATCCGGCTATAGCTCTGAGTGCCATGACCTTGGGCAATGCTTCTTGGTAGCTGCCAGTCATCCTGTTCCTGGGCCACTGCTCAGGCTCTCTGGCCACTCAAGGCTGCAGGAGGGATGGGGGCAATGGACAGAAACACAGGTACAGGGTGGCCTGGGGTGGTTCAGACATCCCACCGGACCCTCAGATTCCCTTCAGCCCCCCTGTTCCTCCTTCCAGGTCTGCAAGGACCCTGACAGTGGAGCAGAAGGTACTGTGAGGGTGGCCACCTTCTGGGAGCTGAACTGAGGCCCAGCCTACCTGCCCTGACTCCACTACAAAGGATCCTGACCAGTCAGGTCAATAATTAGAACTCCATAAAAGTCATTGTAGTATTTGTTTTCTGTTGTTGATTATATTATCATGGACTAGACCTGTAAACTGGTGAGATTCATGCCTTTCTCTGAGATGTAGTCAAGATTTAAGGGCCTGGTTAAGTCCAGTTCTGAGCAGTGAGAAGAACATGAGATCACTCGCGGGCTGTGGCAAAGAGGTTCCTTCCATTCCGAGACGTTCAGGCCAAGACCAGGGCAACTGAGAGCGTGCCTGGTGGCATGGACCAGGGAGGCGCAGAGCTCTGGCCGGCGTTGGGCCCTCGCCGCCGGCAGGACCCCGGAGCTGGACAGGTTTGTCCCGGAGGCACAAACGCGGGGCGCCAGCGCCCTCTGCCGGCCTCCACGCACAGCACCGGCCAGAGCGTCCCTCTGCCGACTCCTGCTCTGACGCCAGAAACCCCGGCCCAGATTCAGAGTTGGGGGTTCGGCCTTACCCCATGCAGGGAGCGCAGCTCCGCTGAGGGCACGGCCAAGCACCGGGTTGTAGACTCAGGGAGCTGCATCAGCCATGGGCCTTGGGGCAGGGGATTGTTGTCCCCCACCTGCATTGTCCTTGCAGCCTTGACCTCGTTGGTGTCCCTGGCCTTTCCTCTGGTCCAGTTCCAGCCCCACCACCACTCTCTGACATGCGGGTGACATTTTCTGCAATTCCAAATAGCCGTGTGCCACTCCTCTACTTCAGACCCTGTAGGCAAAATGGTTATTGCATGAATCATTGCTTTCCCATTAGAATAAATTTGGGTCCAAAAGGTCAAAATTGAGGGAACATGGAACTGATCAGGTCAATGTGACAACCCCTTAGGAATCAATGGGGGATGGAGGCTGCCAGACCTCCAGGCTGGGGCCCCAAAGCAGCATTACCAAGGTGGGTTCCACTGCCACACCAGGCTTCAGAAGCCCATTTAGCCCGCCATGGTCTGGGTCTGCAGGGGTAGACTGGCATGGTGTGCCCGGGGCTGCAGAACAATCCACCCAAAAACTTGATAGCATAAAAACTACCATTTTATTATGCCCACAGATTCTGTGAGCCAGGAATTTGGACAGGACAGGGCACAATTGGGATGGCTTATCTCTGCCCCTGGATGTCTGGGGCCTCAGCCAAGGGTGAGTCAAAAGGGACTGGAAGTCGGCTGGGGACTGAAAGATTTGAGATTGAAGGATCCACTTCCGAGATGGCATTTTCATGTGCATCTGGGCCCCAGGCTGGAATGGCAGAGGCTGGGATTCACTGGGCTATTGGCCCGAGCCCAGGCCTACTGGCCAGCCTCTCCTGCATCCTGGCCTCACGAAGTTGGCCTCCATAAGTGTCAGCAGGATTCCACTATGACATTCAGGATGTGGGTCCCTCTATCCTTGCTGGGCAGAAGTTGGTTGCGGAGGGATCCCCTGAGTCAGGTGCCACAGCTGGGAGCCATGAGGACGATACCATGGGTAGTGGGTGCTGCAGGAGAAGGCTCGAGAAATACCATGATTTGGTTCAACTTGAACTTTTCAAATTCAGGTACTGATACGGAAGGGAGTTGGGGCATGCAGGAAATAACAAGGAGGTCAGAGCACAGGACACGTTCTTACACTGCCCCTGCGTCTCCCTGTTTACTCTGCCAAGTAGCCTAAGCAAGGGACCAAAAGCCCCATTCCCCTCCCTTCAGCTCATGGCCAGGCAAGCACAGGAACTCCCGGTCGGGAGAGTCAGTCACTGCCTCCACATGGCCAGCAGAGGGCAGCACAGCCCCACTCTGCCAGGTCAGATGCTGAGCAGAAGATGGGCAGGACCTGCTCTGGAATGGTATCAAGGCCACACTGAGGATCCACCATACCCCTAGCAAAGAATGGGGTGCGGCCTGAATGTGAGGCTCCACATTCTTCTATTTTGTGAGCTCCAGAGGAGCAGGGACTTGGATGTGTTCAATGCTGTACTCCCCAATGCCTGGTATGCAGAAGACAACCAATACTTAATTGAGTGTTGGGTGAGAACATGCAGTTTTCTGATCTGAAGGTGCTCCTGGTGTGTCAGATGTGAGTGTGTGTCTGACCATGTTGGCCTAAGGGTGTCCGTCAGGTTTGGTACCCAGGGGGACTGGAGTCAGTGTGGGTCCGTCCCCAATGCCTCACCTGGGGTATCTGGCAGCCCCACCTGCCTTTCCTTATACTCACTCCTGGAAAGTCCCAGTGCCCCAGCCCTAAGGCCAGGGAGGCCCCAGTCCTGGCCTCTGTGGACACCTTCCCAGGTATGTCCCTCCCGATTGCTTAGGCCCTGGCCACCTCTGCCCATCTGGGGCCCCTCATCACTCCATCCATCTTTCCTGGGCTGTCTTTATATCTCTTATTTAAAATAAAAGAAGTTCTCCTTGAAAAGGGTGCAGGGAGCTGCAGGCCATGGCCCAGGGAAGCTAGGACAGGTGTGCCAATAGCAGGTGGCAGGGAGCCCTCGAGGACACAGTTGGACTGAGAAGAGCAGAGGCCCCTGATTTCTGAGCAACTCCTGGCCCAGAACATTCCCAAAGCCCCAAAAAGGCATTGCTTCCACACCAGGACACACCTGGGTAAATAACTGTTGTAAGTTATCATTATCTTCATCTTAGAAATAAGAAAACTGAGATGGAAAAGGAAACTGTGTCTTGCCAGGGGGCACAAAGTCATCTAATTGTGGGACTAGAGTTTAAACCCAGGTCTTCTCCAGACACGAGGATATTCTGAATGATTCTATTTACATTAAATTCTAGAAAAGGCAAAACTTCTTCATAATGACAAAAAGCAGAATAGTGAAGCCTGAGGGTGGGGGAAGGGGGCTAGCTATAAAACATGAGGGAAGTTTTTGAAGCAAATATTGTATACTTGATTTGGGTGGTCATTTGTGATGTATATATTTGTCAAAACTCATTGAAGTATCCAATTAAAATGATGCATTTACTATATGTAAATTATACCTCAATAAAGGTTTTTTTGTTTTTTTGTTTTAATTTGGGTCTTCTGACTCAGATTTCACAGCTCTTACCATCCACTCAGGCAACACCCGATAACACTGTCACTGATATGTGCCCTTGTGGCTGGCAAGAGTTATTAGTTATTCTCACACCCAGTGCGTGTCAGAATCCCATCTGGGCGTGAAGCAGGAGAGACTGAGGGAATGCCGGGCCCTTTAATCCTCATTCTGGCTGGAACAATGGATCATCAACTGGCAAACCTCAAACGTGAAAACTGTACTCCAGCTGGGCCCAGTCAGTTCAAGGCATCGACACAGTTCAAGAGAGCTGACCTTGATTTATAAATCTGGGAACAGAAAACTGACCTCTTTCCCTAGAAGCGGGGTTTCCATGACCGCACTGACCACTGGGACAGGTAACTAACTGTTTCAGAATCTGCCCTCCTTTGAGGCTGTGGCCCAAGCCAGGATGATTTATAACACCCTTTCTCCAAGCAATGAAAAGTTTAGAGTAAGACTTAAATTTAATAAGTTCCCAGGTGGCCTCTTCCAATTTGCATGTTGCATCACTAACCTGGCCCAGATTTCTCCCCCTATGAGGCAATGGTGGGAAAACCAGACACCCGTGCTAATTAAACTGGCTCTAAATGGCAAGCAAGCCAATGGTGAGAAGAGAAGGAGCCACACCTTCAGGGCAGCAAACACAGCTGGAGTTTACATGTTCCTTGGATGAAAAAAGATCAGCAAGAGATTTTCAAAACCTTGGCATATCCTGTTCTTTTTAGCCTCATAATGATCTAGGCCAGCTCTGAGGGTGAGAAGGCTCTGGAAGCACAGTGCCAAGGGCTGGAAAGGAGAGACAACGGCCCTGTGGGTTAGGAGCCTAAATTCCATCTTAAGGATGCTGATCAGCAGGGAAGATTCACAATGATGTCATCTGTCCTATGAGTTACTGTCTTGGAAATAGGCATGAACTTTGCCCAGATAAATCCCATGAGTTACCATCCATTACAGCAGTCTGTCTATTCATAACTTTGGGGAGAGTGCTTCCAGGATATTATCTGCCTCTCCTAAAAAGGACACGGGGCTGCAGGCGCTTCACTCGTTGGTGGCCTTGCAGGGCCAACTGCTGTCGCTGGCTTTCAGGTTGCCAGTGAAAACTAACTCCACCACAGAGGGACATGGAGAATAAGTATTAGTTAAAAGGGCATCAGAATGAGGACATTTATCTCACTAGAAATGTACTGTGATGGGGAATGTAAGCATTATATTTCACGGTACTCATCAGAGCATCACATCCAGGATGGAAGTAGTGGTACCTGTAAGGATATGAGCTGGGAGGCCAGCAACAGGCCCACTGAGATCAACATGCATAAGGTACACCCTGCCTACCTGGGGCCACAGGTAAACCAGTCTAAAGCCTTGAGTAAGGATAAAGGTCCTAAAACCCAGGTCTCCTACAGATGAACACCCCAAGCTCCTTCTTCAATCCCATCTTGTTTCATTTTGCTTTGAATTTTTTTATCTCCATTCCTCACTCCCTTCCCCTTCAACTCCCTCCAGACAACCATTCTAATGTGCAGCTTTTTGTTTGTACCTATTTTTGCAAACACTGTTTTGTTTCTTGTGTGCATATATTTCTTCTGTCTATAAATACTATCCTTTTTCCTTTTTTTACTCAGCTGTTTTTAAGAACAGTGTTATGTACTATTTGTGGCTTGAGACTACTTTGAAGTCCTCCACGTGTCTCCCACTGAATTTTCCCTGCACGTTCTCCCAGGGATGCACATCACTCCATTCTCCCACAGCTACTACCCCTTCCACCATATTCAGATTGGTGAGCATCCTTATACATGTCTCCTTACAGACCCAGAGGAGCAAACATATGCACAAATGGAAACAAAAAGAGACAGGAACTAAGAGTAACCCAGTGACAGCAGATACTCAGCCTATCTGACCATACTTGAAAACAGGAAAAAACAGCAAGTGGGAACAGAAAGACAATGGCTGAAATAAACCAACCAAAGGCAGACAGGTAAACCCTTATCAGCTATATCCTGCTCTCAGGGCTCCTGGGGGCCAGTGGGCAGGAGGCAGGGAACCTGGGTATCTTCAGGACACGTAAGGGCTCGCCCCATCAGTCTGGGGCCAGTAAAGCCTGGCCAGGACCTTTGTATTCAGAGTCACTGCCCAGGCCATGGTCAAGGGACAAGCCTTGGGCAGCAGCCCATGCTGGGCCTTGACTGGCTACGGAGATCCCCACAGGGCCCCTTACCACCATGCTAACCCCCTTGTGAACCAACCTTGCAGCCCCCCTCGCTGGCTCATTGCCTTCAGTAGAACCCACAAGTAGGGGCTGAGGCTATGTAAGCCACAGGGCGAGGGGAAAATGCGGCACGGAGAATCTCTTTGGCCCAGGCAAGGAGACAGCCTGTTTGAACAAGTTCAGTACCACCCAAAAGCACACAAAACACACAAATGGCATCTCCGTGGTTCCCCAGAGAGCAGAACGTAACCCAGGCTCACCAGGGGAGCAGAGACCATGAGGACCCGCCAGCGAGCCGTCTCCAGGAATCCTGCCACGCAGACTAGAGCTACTCACCCAAAGTGCCCGGCTGTGTGTGAATGATTTGATTGGCTGTTTCCAGTTTCAGTGACAGAAGAGAAATAGATTAAACCGACAGGAAATCCAGAATTCCATCATCCTCTTTCAGCACAACTGAGAAGGCTGAGAAAAAAGTCCCAATGAGTCACTGGAGAGTAGATAACACCTGATCTTATCTAAAGGAGAAGAAAGGGCTAAGGAGGCTGAGTCCTGATAACTTGAATCCCCGCAGGTATATAAGGGCAGGCAGCCTGCCCCAGTGGCTCCAGGTCACCTGAAATGCAGTTGCCTGATGAGGCCGACCCACTTCCCCAGGGCTGATGCTGTCAGCAGGCCCACACAGTCCATTTAGCCCACAGCCCAGTGGTTCCCATACTTGGGGGTTCATCAGCCAGTTTTTGGTTTTAATCAGTTTTTTTTTATAACTAGCTATGTTTTTATTTCTAGGCATTAGTCAGTACCCTAAATGCCTTAACATTCATAGTTAATGTGCTTTCCCCCCAAATCCTTCATTTTCTGCATACTTAAAATAATTTCCTGTTCCCGTTTTTTTTTTGGTATCATTAATCTACAATTACATGAGGAACATTATGTTTACTAGACTCCCCCCATCACCAAGTCCCCGCCACAACCCCATTACAGTCACTGTCCATCAGCGTAGTAAGATGCTGTAGAATCACCACTTGTCTTCTCTGTTGCACATCCCTCCCCATGGCCCCCCACATTATACATGCTAATCATAATGCCCCCTTTTTTTCCCCCCGTTATCCCTCCCTTCCCACCCATCCTCCCCAGTCCTTTTCCCTTTGGTAACTGTTAGTCCGTTCTTGGGTTCTGTGTAATTAGTTTTTAATTGGGAAACTGGTATAAGATTGTTAGTGTTCCCTTTTTCCAAGGAAAACGTTTTTTAAAACTACCATCTAATAATCACCATCACTTTACATGTTAGCCAAAAAAAGACTAAATGATGGGCCATTTATATAGAATAGTTTCAAACTTTAGAAAATGCTCATTATCACATGTTCCTCATGTGGGGAGGCAGTCAGGAAGGCTCACCGGGGGCTTGTACTGGAGGCCACAGCCAGGACCTGCCTGGAGTTGAATTCCAACCCCGCTGATCACAGTGCCCTGGGGGAACAGGCAAGAGGACTTGAGGTGAGATCTAGGAACTTGTTTGGGTACAACCTCACAAACTGAACTGTCACTTGAATCTGATGTTCTCCCTGACCTCTAGCTGGTGGCTCACCCCCCTCCCATCTTGATGCTCTCACATCTTCATACCCCGTCCCCTTTACCAGTGGTTCCCAAGCAGATATATCATGTGGGCTGGAGTTGTTCCAACTGCAGCCTCCCAGGTCTCTCTACTGACGGTCTGGTCCAGTTGTTCCAGGATGGGAACTCATGGTCACCTGGATTTGGGCACTCACATCTTGTGGCCCCCACCATTATGGAAATGACTGGCCAGAAGCCATCAGCACCAGATCCTGCAAAGCAGAGCTGAGAACAGGGACAGAGTGCCAGGGGAATCCAGACTGAATGGCAGCACCAAGGCCACCAAGTAAAACAGCGCTATCACCAGAACAGGGGTAGGAGTGTACAGTTGGGGGACCGTGTAACTCTCCAGGTTCACAGCCAAGTGAGACACTCAGCTGGGAGAGGACAGACAGGGAATGTGGACACCATCTGTACCTTCACAAAGAAAGGGTCCTTTTTTAACAGGGGAGCCTCTTGGATGCTGCCCTGCCCCCTGCTGTGGCCTCTGTGATCGGTCACTTCTGTCCTTGTCACCCCACCTCCATACTGGCTTACTCTTCAGTCACCTGTTTGCAGCACCTCCACCCCTACCCTTTACCATGTACACAGCCCAGATACTCAACCAGCATTTCCAACTGGACCGACAGGGACTCCCTTTGATGGCACTGTGCACCCCTCAGGGAGACCACCAGCTATGGGAAAGAACCTGGAGGGCGTGAGCCACAGGCACAGAAGGCTCCCTGTCTCTGGGCCTAGAGATCACCACTGCCTCCACCACTCTCTCCCTAAGCACCTGGCTTCAGAAGGAAGACATTTGAATGTTGTGGAAATTTCACTAACAATACCCAAAAACCTATGTGGAGGCTGAGGGACAAATTCTTGTGGTACCTAGGGACAAAGTCATGTGAGCTGCCAGGTAAGGAGACCCTGCTGGCCGCAGTACCCTCTCTCAGGCAGGCTGGGACGCCACTCTCTGATGGGGTTGCGCTCCTTCACATACACATGAAGGGGCCTCAGCCAAGGCTGTCACTTTTGCGGTTACAGGTCTGACAGTGAAGAACCCCCTACACCCACAATGGGCCACAACACAGCACATGGTACAAAGCTCAGCAGCCTGCCTGGTGGGGATGTCCTCTGAGGCAGGGGTACAGGGAAGACGCCGTCTGGACCAGGCACCCACAGGTAGGGACAGCCTGTGGCACTGTGCTCTCGACAGCCTGCACACCCTCCCCCCAATGATTATTTGATCCCCACCTTGGATGTCTGGTCTACCCTAAAGAGTGTGAATCCTGTACCCTTTCCTCCCTCCACCCCAACAGATGCTTATTAGGATCAGCCCCAGTCCTGAACTCTGACCTTGCTGACCTTGCTATAGAAAAATCCCCATCAGCAAATGACAAGAATTAGCACCTCTCCGGCTCTTCACTTAAACAATGTCTAGCGGTTTGCTTTAATAAGGTCTTGAGTGCATTTGACCCCACTATCTTGCTTAATGGGGCTTCCTGTGTCCATGTGACCCTAAAAGCTAATTAATGCTACAGCATCAGGTTTCTTAGCTAATGCGAGGCCCCCACTTGGAAGAATTAATTAGACCATGTTAAAATACAGACCACGAAAACCAGAGCTGGGAGGGAATACATTTACTTGAGGTATAAAGGTTTACTATTTTTAACAATATCACTATTATTTACATGTTTATAAAATGGAAATAAAAATGACATACATGTTTGGTGCCAAAAGTGGCACATCAAACTAACATTAGTACAAAAATAATTTTCAAGCTACGTGTTTTTTAAATAAATGTCATTGAAACAGTAAGGGGGAAAAAATCTGTCGGTCATATGTTGGAGTGAACATCATCCCAGCACTGGGGCAACACTGAGACCCGTGCCTGCTGGGAGGGCCGCCCCTGTATGGTTTCCTGAGACCCAAGCAAACAGACCAAAAACGAATACCTAAGTTCTGGTCCTGAGCAACAGAAGCTTAGAGCCTCTAAACCGCTGTGACTTCCTACTGCAGAGGATCCCCACAGGGTCCGAGCTGATGAGCTTTCACTAGTGCTCGGCTAGTGGCGGGAGGACATGGTATCGTACGCAGAGAGAAAGCTGAGCCCACTTGGGAAACAGAGAAGTCCTTAGCCAACAAAGAACAGGGCACATGAGTCCTCTCTGTGGATCCCAATCCTTGTAAGTCTGGCTGCAGATAAACAGGGGCCAGGGCAGAGGGAAACAGAAGCTGCTTGGTTTGGAGCCCCTGTGCCACCAGCCATGCCCCGTGGTGGTTCTGGCAGAAATGTGCAGTGTTGCCAGGGCCTCATCCCTTCAGAGACAAAGTGGACCTCCTTGGTTGTCGGAGCCGTGGCCCCTCCAGGGAGAGCAAAGCCAGCCCAGCAAACCCCATCCACCCACAGGGGGCTGCAGCTGTCTGCCTAACTTCCCTCTGTGTTCCCCACAAAGTGGGGCCAGGGCTGGGCCGGCTGGAGGAGGCATTCGGGGTGTGTGAGGGTGCCGAGTGAGCAAGGAGCACAGCTCTGCCAACTCGTGCTCTGTGGGGGTGCGGCGCAGCAGGACACCTGTCCACGCACAGATTCCTCCGGGATCCCAGCAAGGAAGGCAAGTGCTGAAGGGGAGCAGAAGGATGGGGCTGGCACATGGACTGCAGCCCACTTCGGAGCAGCTGAAGGTTCCATATGAGCCGACACCAGCTCACCACCTTGGGCTGGGGGAGCAGCAGCATGGAGGAAAGGGCACCGAGCAGTCCCTGCTGCTTCAGGTGAGCTTGGCTCACTGGTCCTGGACCTTGGCCCTTTTTGCTTTTAGGGACAGGTGCTACGAGAGAAGAGAAAACATCTTAGTTGTGGTTGGTTAGACAAAAACCAGACTTCAACATAATCCCACATAAAAGACCAAATCAAAGCTTCTACCTGGTCCACACCTTCTCCGGGAGTGCCCTGCCCCCCAGGAAGGAGTCTGGAGGGAAAAAGCCCAAGTGACCAACAAAGGAAATGGGCCTTCCATGAGCCACAGGTCACACGGGGCTCTCCTGTGGGATGCTTCCATGAGACATGGCTCCCCTCTGCCCCAGCCCACAGGACAGCTTTGTCGCCAAACACCTGAGCAGGACGCTGGGCTCTGGCCAGACATCACCCCAAGTCTCCATAGATTTCTTGAGAATGGTCAAGAAAAGGTATCCTCTCCTAGGACCAAGAAAAACCACCACTTACCAAGCATCTCCGTGTGCAGGTGCCTGTACTCAGACCCCGCCCACACAGAATCCCTTGCGCACCCAAGCACAGGGGAGACACACAGGAAGAGGATGCCTTTGCCAGCACATTTTTTGTTCAGACATGTGGCTCTCTACCAGTATGAGTAAGACAGGAAGCGTTAACACTACAAATGTTTAGGAATGAGGGATACAATCATTCTTTACATTTTAAGGTAAAGTCAAAAGTGTTGGAACCCCAAATTATGCATTTAAGGCAAAGTGTATAACATAGCTCTTAGTGAAGAACTTCTGTTCACCAGCTGAGGTATCCCTGACACCTCCTTAATAATCACACATAAACAACCAAGAGATACCTAAGGCATATCACCCTAGCATGCAGTGGGATCTCCACGTGAGCAGTCCCCAACCCTGACTGCCAGCAGAGCAGGCCTGCCGATTCCCAGCACGCTCAGTGCCCAAATCTTATGACACCCACGTGGCCTCCAGACACAACCCCCTTCGCCAACATGGAACTGCAGGGCCTGAAAGAATGCAGGGTGCAAAAGAAGATACAACACACCACCAGTAGAACCTCAGAGGTGACTGAGTGAACAGGACACAAATCTAATGAGCTGCAAGAAGCCACTTTCTATCTGCTTCTGCCAGACAAAGGAGGAGTACAGGTTCTCACGAAATCCCTAGTTACGAGGAACTCCAAAGACATCTCTGAGAATCGGGAAGAAGCAGTTACGGACTGGAAGGCAAATCTGAGCAGGTCACCCTGTTTTTCTTCTCTCCAGCTGTGGGTCTTGCTGAATTTATCTGAACTCTCTCCTACCTGTATTATGCCTAATATGACCCCTCCAACTAATGTTAGCCACCCAGTCTTAGCTTGGGAATGGGAGATGATGTCATTATGTCATTATGCTTGAGGGAACATTTTTTGGTGCTCAATTCTGAAAAGAATGTCGAGTATAAACAAAGCCGATTCTGGACCATTTCAGGCCTCTTCACAGAGTATGAGTGACGTTTTGGAAAACAGTGGTAATGGAAAGACACCAGAGGTGCCAGGAACAGAGCTGGGGGTGATCTGTGGGCTGTGGATGGTTGTGAGGCACTACACTGCTCAACAAAGGAACATTTACCATACATGGGCAACCACTGAAGACCTACACGGCACTTGGAGAAATCAGTTCATTTGGCCAAGTTAATAGTAGAAGTACTACCATTGGACTGTTTACTTAAGGAGGGGCCGTTGCCCATACAATGAAGCTGTTGGACCTGGTTTTTTCTAAAGGTGTCAGCCTCTCTAAAAATGTTCTGATCAAGGCAGTGATCAAAGTGGAGTTCATGAGCTGAAAAAGAGACACTGGAGAGAAGAGATAAATGCATAAATTTGGGACTCCATTTTCTCCAAACTTCTGAGGTTATCTGTGCTTTAACTTTGTGGGTTTGACCTAAAGAAATTATAATTTTGAACTGAGAAGAAAAATGACTCCACTTCTAGATTAATTCTGTTCTCCAAGAGTCTAAATGAATCCAAGACCACATCAGGATTATCCTTCTCTAACTGCTTGCACTGTATCACTTTAACAAGCACTTCTACAACTGCACCATTTTCCTCATGCTCCAGGATGTATTTCCGGTCACTTCCTTGGGCTCCTGAAGTCTGCTGCTTTCCACCTGAGAGGTTTTGAGGGAAAAGATTTTCTT